GATATGCCCGCTCTACAAAACCTTCGAATGCGCCCTACACAAAGGTCGTCGTTTCTTTCCAATTATAGCAACCCTAAAATCTAGTTAGATAAGTCCGAAGACAGTCAATTACGTCAAGACTTATCTGAGGCGGACTTGTATGGAACGAGGCCTCAAACGTGAGATTTTAGGGCAAAGAAAATTTTCCGAAATGTCTTCACCGGCCCGATTTTGATTCAGGTTTATCATGGCAAATTTGAAGAAAGATCCAAATTGGGAGGGATCGCAACATACGGAACCGCAAAGTAGAAAATGCAGACTCACATAGATTGAAATGACTCCCAACTATTGCTGCCTCCACATTTTCTGGATTCTTCTCCGTTGGATCAACCCAATTAGATTCATTCAAGAGAAGTATACCCTAAATGACACTTTTAGGCATTGCGATTCCCTCACATGTAAATCACCTCGAAGCTATCCGTGACGTCGAAATCAATCGCTACAGTATAGGGGACGAAAGTAACGAGATCGGATGTAGTATCGCCCAAAAATTCATTCAGAAGATCCTAAGCGGAAAAGTGATTGCCTTGATCAAACCAGACTGGTAAACCTACTGTAACAAATCTTTGATGATCCCATACTAGCCAGCAGCTGCACTTTGAAAGGCGGAACTTGAAGTCCCACGTTTGCTTTGCGTTAAACACCTGAGTACACAGTTTGAATAAAGATTTTAACTTTAAATATATTGTTTCTGTTACCCTAGGATAATGGAATTCCGCATCGACGCTGAAGGTTTCCGCTTCCAAAAGCTTACGGTAAGGAAGCGATGAAGTGCTTTCTAATCGCAGCAAGGAAGTGTGCAGACTCCAACTAAATCCATCTTCCTTCGTGATCCACCATATCGACATCTGTAAAGATTTGATGAGTCGATAGAGATAGCAGATAAAGATTTCTCAATCAGCTGTCGCACTGGTTCCATGAGAATAAAAAGAAGAAAAACATTTTTTAGAGAAAAGATTGACGAAAAAGGATATCTATCGTTGTACTCAAGTGAAATATCCAAACAACAAATTCTCTGATTATGGTGATTCTCTGACAAGAGAAATCACTATCACCAAAAAATCTGATGTCATCACAAGCAAGAAGAGTTTTTTT